CGGCCAGTCCAAGCTGCCCCTCCCTCCTCACCCCCACCTTGCTGTCTAGCCATACCTCCCAAGTCTGTGGGCCTAGACCAGGCCACAGTGACAGGCCTCACTGAATCCCCATGTGTTCCTAACCTGCTCTCCCTGCTGGAGCTGACTCACAGTGCTGCTCCTCCCAGACTGCTTTCTTTCAAGCTCTGGTCCTGGAGCAAAGAACTGGGCGGCCACTGGCAGCAAACTGTGGCTTGACGACCTCCTCCTCCCCCAACCTCCACTTCTGAGATGTGGAGGCTGTGGTCATACAAGATCAGAAGCTTTAGAAAAGACTAGTTTGCCTGAACGCACACAAAGTTTCAACAGCCCTGAAATTTGAGGATCCATTTAAGCCTCAATGGCCCTAAGTGTTAAAGTGAACTTCTCTGAGACACTATTCTTCAGGTCAGGGGAAGTCCTTTGTTTTTTAAGATTTATTTATTTTATGTGTGTGTTTGCCTGCATGTATACATGTGTATCACCTATGTGTCTGGTGACCATGTAGGCTAGAAGGGGGTGTGGATCCCCCGGAACTGGAGTTATGGATGGTTAGTAGCTACCATGTGGGTGTTAGGAATCGAACCCAGGTCCTCTACAAGAGCAGCCAGTGCCCTTAACTCGAGCCACCTGTCCAGCCCCATTGGTGGAACCTTAAATGACCTAAAGACACAAATGACATCCACCCTGCTTGGCAGCCACAAGCTCAGGCTGTGTACAAGGGCACATGCATCTAGCTAGGGGGCCCTAGTGAACTAGGCCACCCGTTGTTCGAGAAAACACATTATTAACTGCTTCCCAGGGAGAGCAGGGCAATATGTTTGACTCTAAATTGGGACTGGGTTTAAGGAAAAGAACAGAGATGAAATTTTCGTCTCTGGAGAAGCTGAGCTCCCACTTGGTGAAAAAGCGAAGTTAAGATTAATGAGCTTGTGTGTTATAGTTACTGATAAGTTCATTACTTGCGGATATTGGATACCAGTTGTCTTTCTCCTGAAGGATTTCACAGCAGAGGCATGCATGGCCTCAATATGCATTCTCCATCTAACAAGCTAAACCATCTTCCAGGAGCAGAGCCCCACCTGTGGGAGAGCCCCAACTGTGGGAGAGCCCCACCTGTGGGAGAGCCTGCTGCTAGGCTGGGGCACCAGCAGGGCCACATGGGGGTGTCTGCAGATGTTTCTCTGTCACCAAGCCCTGGCAGCTTTCTGTACCTGCAGCTTTTACCAAAGGGCAGGGAACATTGCTACCTTCCTTCAGGGTGGGGGGGGCGGGGGGGCACTTGGGAGAAGGTCCAGGGGCTCCTTTCTCCTGATGGATAGCAGCGGCTAAGGCAACACAGCAGGAAATGGATTGTGTTAGAACTGCCCATCTCCTGGCTCAGTTCTGGCCCGCTAGTCAAAGCAGACTTGGAGGCAGAGCTCCAACACGGTCCCCACTACCCTCTTTTTCCACTGCTTGGACCGCCTTGCACGAGCTTGGCCAGTCCAGCCTAGAAAAGGGACACAGTGACAGCCAAGCTCCCCACATTCCCCTCTACCAGTGGCTCTTCGGCCGACATCTCCATGGAGGGTCCAAGCTCTGCCCCTGTGGGCTGCAGTGAGCCGCCCGGCTTTGATTCCTGAGAGCTGGAAACTACTTCCCAGCAGCTGTATTTCGGGAGCAGCTCTGGTAACATCAGAACAAACAGCGCTATAACTCAAGGGAGTTACAGGTCTGAGGAGATGTAAGGCCCACTTCCTTCGTGCCACACTGTTATTAGGTGGCATAAATTATGTTCAAGTCCTCGTCAGGCGTATTCACCAGTGGACACTACGTGCTGGAACTTGTCCCAAGTGACAGTCGTGGCCAATGGCTAAATGCATCTGCTGTCAGCACCAGGACTGTGATGCCCTGCAAAGGGGGACTGTGCGTGGGGCTGGCTAGCAACCAATACTGGGTACAATTTCTTCCCCTTTTTGAAACAAAGGGAAACAGTTTACTAGAGGAAAGGTTCTGTAGATGGCTCAACAGCAGGGCAGCTGGGAAAGGAAGAGGTTAGAGGAGAGGCTGGACTCCACCTGCTGTTCTTGGAACCCACAGTTATCTCCAGAAACCACTGCAGGGATCAGTCTTTGCATCACTCCAGAGAGTGTAGAGACCAAACTAGACAAGGAGAAAGAGAAGTTTCATCTTGTCTTAGAGCACAAACAGATTTACAGCCTGCTTTTGGCTAGCCCAGCCTCAGCAACTCCTCTAAGTCATTAACAGAAACAAAATGCGTTATTAGGAAATTTGCAGGTACTGGATGGAACTGGAAACAATTACCTGGAGGTGACCCGGACCCAGAGAGACAAACTGCTGTATGTCCTCCCCCTGAGTGCTAGCTTTTGAATCCTTAGATATGTGTGTTTCCACTGGAAAAATCCATACAGGCCAGGAAGGGACCACGGACAAGAGGCTTCACAGGAGAGGAGATAGAATGCAGTGGTATAAAGGGGAGAGGGGAGTAATTAAATAGGAAGGGTTAATGGGGTGAGGAATGGGAGGGCAGGTCAGAAGAGGGAGTATGGGGAGGGAAAACACTACAAGTCTTTTGAAAAAGTCATATGGAAACCTACCACTACAGAAGGTCCTTAGAGTGCACACACAATAATGGGGGACTGTGTCCCTACGAGAAACCCACAGGCTAGCAAATAAAAACCCTAATGACAGGAACAGACACCGTCTTTTGAAGCTGTTGACCAGGGGTCCTACGGACCCTCACAAACTACTGGCTATGGCCTTTGCTTTTGGTTACTCACCAGAACTTGACAGTAAGACCCTATTTCTGAAGACGCCTCATACACGAGTCACAGAATAAACAAGAAGCAATCACGCTGGTACAGACCTCCGAGCCTCATCTCTACTGCCTGGCTTTCACAGTGCTGGAACGTGCTATGCACACTACCCAAAGAGAAAGTCGTCACCAACCAACCTTGCCCAGCTGTGAACTGTATGAACTACTAGTCTGGCAAGATGGGCCCATTAGTGCAACAGTGGCACAAATGTTATGAAAGTAACCAATCACTTTCTGATTGAATTTAAGGTCTGATTCATGATGGAGCCCATCCCTGAAACTGACAGCAGGCCTAGGAAACTGTGACTAGACGGGCAACAGGCCACTGAGGAGTACCTACTACCTTTCTTCTGTTAAACGGATATAGCATTAACAGACTAGACTCCCAACGGCTTACTGTTATACCCATATTTAGTGCATCTGTCAACTCAGCACAGAAGCTTCTTCATGCAGCAAATGGCGATTAACACAGAGACCCACAACTGGTTAGTGTGCAGAGAACAAGAGACCGTAGAATGCTTAGTCCATGTCAAAGCCTTGCCTCCCAAGACTTGGGGATCACTGTGGAGGAAGGGGCAGAAAGCTTGTAAGAGCCAGAGACGGTAGATGACTACAACAGAACAGTGTTTTCCAGAAAGCAGGACAGGTACTCCTATGAATTCAGAGGAATTCTGATAGCATGCATAAGCCCACATTAGTTCAAGCCAGACAAATTCCTGGTATATGGGGGTTAGGGGGTGGGGGGGAGGTGGGTAAGAAGCTGTAGCTTTAGCTGAGAAACTCTTGGCAACTGATAGCTGCTGGAAGAGAGTCAGTTTTCCTTAAGGGTGTAACGCTGGGTAGGTTAACTAGGCTCCCGGCAATAGACTGACATTGAAGGGCATGTGAGGACGTGAAATCAGGCGGGTGAGTTGTTGGGGGCTGTAAATAGGGGAGGGGTCTGAATATGATCAAAATACAGTTTATGACATTCACAAAGATTCTGTAATTTTTTTTTAAAGAAACCAAATGGGTGAGGCAGGGGGGTTGCAGGTTTCCGAGTCTCAGAAAAGGGGGAGGGAGGACAAGGAAGGCATCTAGAAGGGCTGGGAACACGATAGAAGCGGTGGGCAGAACTGACTGGGTGAGCTGTTCCACCTGCTGTTGCTGCTCAGGGCACAACACAGCTCAAGCTGGGTGAAATCAGACTCACTCAAGCATACACACTTCAGCTTACACTCTCCTTACAGAGTCCTCCTTGTTCAGCAGATGCAATTTTAAAAGCAATTTCAACACTCACTCTCAATGTGGC